AGAACTGCTCCCAAAAGCATATTCTTCAATCATTGTAATTGTCGTTTTTGCTTCTTGACGGAAGGATGAAGACAGAAGGGAATTTTTGCAGTGCTTCAGAACAGTAACTGATGCCATCTGTAGGCTATGTGGGGGACACGTTCCGCTAACGAAAAATGGTAAGAGAAGAAAGCACTAAGAGGTCATATCGGCCATATAATATGTAACGGTTTTTGAGCAAATACTCCAGAACCAAACAAAGGTTAGTGAAAAGGAGGGCCAATATTAAAACCTTTCCATAAAAAAAGGTACATGTATTTATTGACAATAACAAATTTTAAAACATATATAGGGGCCCAATTACAACCAATGTATATAAAACATAACAATATCAAGGGCGTTTCGGCCAAATATGTGCCAAGATGGTTAATAATTATATTCACATAAACACAATCAGAAATATATACAAAGTATAGATTCAATAAGGACCATAAAGTAAATTGCTGTAAAAAATAAAAAATAGAAGATTAAACACACATATTTTACAACAAATTAAAGAATTTCAAATCTATATAGCCAATCTGTAAATATAGACCACAAACTTACTTCAGAAGTAAAATAACCAGGCACAGGATAAATATGCACATAAGACCTTTAAAGTGCAATCACTAGCCCAGTGATTATGAAATAAACCTAAGGAAAAAAATGAAAATCAGTATATCAAGCAATTTACAACCCAAAAATAAATAGTAATAGTAATAATAATAAACTAGTTACTTATGGTCCAAAAATTTCCTTCTTTGATTGTGTTCCCACAGTATTGCTTCTGAGCAAATACTGCCTTTGTGGTTTGCTTTTTGGTTTTTGCTATTTGAATTATGTTTCTTATATTCATTGTAGTGCTTCAGAACAAACACTTTCTGCAATTGCTAATGGCAGATGATGTTGAGACTTCCACAAGAGTGATGTCTGTGCTGCAGAATATTTTAAGGATCAACAGGTAGGCTGCAGTTAAATTATTTCTTACTGTAAACATTTTCTTAGCTTAAAACTTGAAAGGCAACTAATGTTTTTCCCCCAAGGTAACAAGCAGTTAACTCATTTCTACTGTACAGTGTGGGTACGAGCAAGGATGAGTGCTGAAGCGGAAGAGAATTAAAGGCACCGGGAAATCCATTATAGAATCACAGGTGCTTTCCTAATCATTGTTCTAAATTTGGATAAGTGACAAATAATATCACTGGTACTCCAAAAAAAAAAAAGCAGAACTTACGTTAACAGCAAATGCACTGAGGAGGATAAGGGTCTTTCTAATTAGTTTAGTGTGCATTTATTTATTGTACTTGCCAGGCCCTATCCTCTTCCTTAGGGATATGCCCTTTTTTGTGTGGATTTTATGTTTCTTTAGCACTCTAGGCATAGTACTTCTGTTATTGGCATTGTATTGTTCTAAATTTGGGATAAGTGACAAATAATATCCTGGTACTCCAAAAAAAAAGAAGCAGAACTTACGTTAACAGCAAATGCACTGAGGAGGATAAGGGTCTTTCTAATTAGTTTAGTGTGCATTTATTTATTGTACTTGCCAGGCCCTATCCTCTTCCTTAGGGATATGCCCTTTTTTGTGTGGATTTTATGTTTCTTTAGCACTCTAGGCATAGTACTTCTGTTATTGGCATTGTATTTTTTTTTTAATTTGCTTTCAATTTGTATCCCGCCTTACCGGTATGAACTGGCTCAAGGTGGCTTACACAGTTAAAATACAATAAAACCTATAAGTACACTAAAATTACAATAAGAACAGTTACATAAAGTGCTGCTATAAACAGATGGCGGGAATTTCTGTACATGGTCCGATGGGGAAAGGCCATATCCGGCGTTGTTTCATAGGGCTAAGAGATGTTCGATGTACAAAGGCTGTCAGTGGCAGCTCCTAATCAAAGGCCTGGTGGAAGAGCTCAGTTTTATAGGCCCTGTGGAACTATAAAAGGTCCCGCAGGGCCCTGATGTCCTCCGGAAGCTCATTCCACCAGTGTGGAGCCGCCACTGAGAAAGCCCTGGCCCTTGTTATGGCCAATCTGGCGTCTTTCGGGCCAGGGAGGGTCAGGCGGTGTTGGGTCCCCGACCCCAGTGCTCTCTGGGGCACATATGGGGAAAGGCAGTCCCTCACGTAAACAGGGCCCCGACCATATAGGACTTTAAAGATCAAAACCAGCACCTTGAAACGAATCTGGTATGCTATTGGCAGCAAGTGCAATGCCTTCAGCACAGGCTGGATGTGATCTCATATGGAGAGACCCATCAACAGCCTGGCTGCCGCATTTTGCACCAGCTGCAGCTTCCGGAGTTGGGACAAGGGCAGCCCCATGTAGAGAACGGGTAGATAGTATTTGGTGGAATGCTGGAATGCTGTTTTGAAAAACTCACTTTTGCACTCATTGTAAATACCTGGAAGTAGAAAGAGGTTCTAGATTTAAGTGTAATGTCTTATGGCTTGTTACGTCGGAAAGTAGCTTTCTTTAAAAGCTGTGCACCTAGAAACTATCATATTTTATACCACTAGAGAGCCCTTCATTAGTTGGTGTCATAAAAACCAGTACAACTACTGGGATATCAAGTGAGCTCAAGCAAATCTGCACGCGTTATCCCTGTATTCTTCCAGATGCTTTGTCAGCATTGCTAAGAGAAATCTCTACCTCTACTGCCATATTGACATTGCCAAAGTGAGCCATTACAGTCATATTTCAAATAAGCTAGTACTTTGAGAAAAATATGTGCCGGCTAGCACGCCATCAAATCCCTAATCTTACCTACCTTTTCCTGCTCCGTCCTGCCTGCGCCTATGAGTAGGCAACGAACACGAAATTAAGCAAACTCCGGAGGACGGCAGAAGACAGGAGGGCCTGGCGTGATGTGGCCCATGGGGTCGCGAAGAGTCGGACTCGACTGTGCGACTGAATAGCAACAAAGGCTAAAATAGCACGCATCTCTTTTCTTCCATCAGGGGTGTGTTACTTCAAGTGGCTGAAAAGACCCTAGACTGCATCCTAGATGAGCTTGTTTACAAGCTTTCGTCTACCATCAATCCTGTCATAGGAAGCGCGGCGATAAAGCTGTTGCTGTCAGTCGCAGAATCCGATCCCCGACTTGTGACAACACTGACTACCCGCTACAAAGGTCTGTCATCTGTTTCCGCTTTACCTTGGCATGTGCGGCTCCCTGTCTGCATTCATCTTTTTTGTGGGGAACCTTGTAGGTTGTGTCAGATAAGTAAGTTAACATTGCTAAAAAGTCTGGACCTGTGGAATAAAGATTTAGGGTAGGATTTAGATCCTGATAAATGGCTAAAAATTTGGGAGACAAATATGAAGATTTAGGCAACGAACACGAAATTAAGCAAACTCCGGAGGACGGCAGAAGCCAGGAGGGCCTGGCGTGATGTGGCCCATGGGGTCGCAAAGAGTTGGACTCGACTGTGCGACTGAATAGCAACAAAGGCTAAAATAGCACGCATCTCTTTTCTTCCATCAGGGGTGTGTTACTTCAAGTGGCTGAAAAGACCCTAGACTGCATCCTAGATGAGCTTGTTTACAAGCTTTCGTCTACCATCAATCCTGTCATAGGAAGCGCGGCAATAAAGCTGTTGCTGTCAGTCGCAGAATCCGATCCCCGACTTGTGACAACACTGACTACCCGCTACAAAGGTCTGTCATCTGTTTCAGCTTTTCCTTGGCATGTGCGGCTCCTTGTCTGCATTCATCTTTTTTGTGGGGAAATGCAAAGATTGTTACCTGACCTTGTAGGTTGTGTCAGATAAGTGAGTTAACATTGCTAAAAAGTAATGTTTATCTTGCTGTCGCTCACCTATTAAGGGCTAGAAACTCTTCTTAGCAAGCAGTGGACTGGCAAAGGATTTGACAGGAACCTCGATCAACTTCTGGATCTGCTGGGCTCAGAAAACTGCAGGGCGGATGAAACACAGGTATGCCAACAGTATTACCGAGAGCGTCGCATGTGGGGGAAATAGGTAAAGGGTAAAGGTTTCCCTTGCTCGAAAGCCAGTCGAATCAGACTCTAGGGTTGCGGTACTCATCTCTGTTTCCAAGCCGAAGAGCCAGCGCTGTCCGAAGACGTCTCCGTGGTCATGTGGCCGGCATGACTAGACGCCGAGGTGCATGGAACACTGTTACCTTCCCATTGAAGCGGTACCTATTTATCTACTTGCAGTTTCTTGCTTTCGAACTGCTAGGTTGGCAGGAGCTGGGACCAGAGACTGGAGCTCACTCCGTCTTGCGGCACTCGGTTCTCGAACTGCTTGGGCTAAATCTGTTCAGTGTGTTATTGTATCTTTCAGAACTTCCTACTGTCATTTTCCCACTGTATTTTACAATTCCAGTGACTCAGTTGAACAGCAAAAATGCATTTCAAAGAGAAAAATCCAGCATCCACCCAATTCTAGTAGCAACAGCTAGCCATTAAATGCTCACTCTGCACTGTACATTAGAAATGTATGCCACTATGAAAATGCAACAAATGTATTCAAGTTGTCAAAAGTATTAGGAGATAAATATGGACAAACACAACCCAATCAGAAAATAAGTATAAAGACAACAGTCGTGACGCCCGGGATCCATTTAGAAGCTTAGCAGCATATTTGTGCCTGAACATTTATTGAGATCAGCGTCCTATCTGAATGTAGTATTCCTTATGACTTATTGTCAAGCACTTCATAAATACAGAGAGCTTTTGTAGTACTCTAATACCTCCTGAGGATGGTCCAATTTTGAAACGTTTGTTATATAATCCGGAGACGACGTTGATTATGTACCTATGCACAAGGATTTTCTTATGATTTATGAATGATGTTGTAGTGCGTTAGATTATAATACATAGGAAGCTTTTTCTTTGTATGTCTTGGTGACTGCTTGATTTGTGGGTCAGACTCTCACGACTGTTGTCTTTATACTTGTCAAAAGTATTGACATTTGTTATGTTTACAATGGCCACTGTTTCATCTTTCTTTTGTGTTGCCTGTTTTCATGTTTTGGATCTCTGCCAAAAGTGCATGTAGAATGTCAGACTGATGAAGCACATGCATAGATCACTTATGTGGACGAACAGGATGACGCCGCCTTCAGTGCTAAGGTGGCATTAGCCTCAATCCTGCACCTTTCAAGGTGGCTGCTGAATCTTGTCCTATCTGTCGTCCCCCCCCCCCAGTCCTTTAATCTTTTTTCTCTCCCTACCCTAATACCTCCCTATGCCTAGGAAGGTTAGGAAGGCAGGACACAGAATGCAGAGGGAATGAGTCTCCTTTCCCTCTCTAATCAGCTGCAGATAGAAATGTACAAGGGGAATCTTTCCTTTGCACCTATCAGCTTTAAAAAGCAAGTTGTGTGCACTGTAGTGCAGAATAACAAGAGCATAGGGTTTTTTAAATACTCCAGCATTTGAGCAGCGATTATTGGTTCTGTTTGGAGCACGTACAGCTGAGATCTGTTATTGCCATAAAACAGGCAGATCAGTTTGGATTCATGCAAGAAGAGCTCTGAAAAATAAATCTCAAATTCCAAGGAATAATTCAGATGAACAGAGTAGTAAAAGGTTCCCTTGCTCGAAAGCCAGTCGAATCCGACTCTAGGATTGCGGTGCTCATCTCTGTTTCAAAGCTGAAGAGCCAGCGCTGTCCGAAGACGTTTCCATGGTCATGTGGCTGGCATGACTAAACACCAAGGTGCCCGGAACGCTGTTACCTTCCCACCGAAGTGGTGCCTATTTATCTACTTGCAATTTCTTGCTTTCGAACTGCTAGGTTGGCAGGAGCTGGAACTAGAGACGGGAGCTCACTCCGTCATGCGGCAACTCGGGTCTCGAACTGCTGAACTACCGACCTTCCACAGCCTGCAGTTCAGCGTCTTAACCACTTGAGCCACCACAGCTCCAAGGAACAGAGTAGAGGGAAGTCTTAAAGGCTGGATTGTCGCTCTGCCCCAAGGAAAAAGGAAAAAGAGTATAATCATCTGGTTTGTTGATTTCAGAGATTACATCAAGCAGTTTGCATAATCCAGGCTGCATGGAGAGGATTTCAAACCCGAAAAAGGTTAAAGCAGCTTCCAAAAGCTGTAACTACTTTGCAGAAGAATTTCAGGTAAAAAACAACAACTCTGCTTTGTTAAATTTACATGAAAACTCTTTTGTGAAGGTGCATGGGAAAGTGTTGAGGCTGAGTTACAGTGGCATTGTGAAGCAAGAATTCTCATGTAGGTTTCTTATTTACAAGGACTGTAAACAGTGGAGTGTGTTCATAGGGCCTTCCACTCGGATGGAGAGGCCCCTCCGTGGTATTCTCTAACATACTATCCTTCTGAAGCTTTGGGAAAGTGGCAAATGCTGGAGTACTCACTAAGGCTGAATTAGTTTATGCATTTTTTCCAGTCATAAATGAAAAGCTATGGAGTATCTCTGTCTGTATCAGGTACTGGGACTGTTGCCACTTTTCAGTTTTTATTCTCTACGGTGTATAAGATTATTCTCTCGTTACCAATTTACATATTCTTTCCCTTCCACCAAATCGTGTTGGCCAGCAAACCTTAAATTTTGCAAAGGAAAAATTCACTGTGAGGCTAAACAACGCTTATTCTCATGCTTTCTTGTGCCAAATCAGATTTTGGGTTGCAAAATTATCGAAGGATTTACTGGCACAGTATTTTAGCATCTCTGCCTATAATAAAAACTTTTGCAAATACGAGGATGCCTCAGCAGACACTTGTTTGGAAAATCCAGTAGAGGGCAGACTTCTCACATGTTTTCCAACCAGTGTAACCATCTTCATTCTTTAAACATTATGAGTTTTGCTGGCCCTTATTGTTCGCTCCTCACATTTGTATATCACTTTCCCCAATAAATAGGGCAGTTTACACGGGTGACATGAGCTCGCTATTTCTCCCAATAACTCTGGGGTTGGTTAGGTTAAAAGAGAACAAACAGCCCGCCAACTGAGTAACATGTTCAGTGTAGCATCTTGAATTCTGGTCTCCAAAGTCCAACACTCTGCTGTAGCTGACTAGCTCCAGTTGTGCCTAACAATGCGTATGTAGCCTGAGGCAGCTGAGGTCTGCATTCCTCTCTGCATCGTAATATACATCAAAATATGCCCTCCCATCTATGTAGGATACAGTGACTGGGGAGGCACTTCATGGTTACGCTTTTGAATGTGTATCTGTGTCTGGTGTGCATGTTCGGAGGCTGATCTACCCACGGAATCCATGCACAGAAAATATTTCTGAGTACACATCTCCCTTATCGGGTCTTGGTGGCCGCAGTCTGTGTTTTCTCCTTGATTCTCATGAATGCTGTCACGGTCTGGAGCGCCGCAGGCAGAGGGAAGTCTGAGGTCTGGAGCCAAGAAGGGTGGGGCAAGAGCCGAGAGTGAGAGCGTAAAGCGTCAGCCAAGAGCAAGGTCGTTCAGTCCTGGGTTGGAAGCCGGAGGGAGATTGGAGGCTGATCTACCCACGGAATCCATGCACAGAAAATGTTTCTGAGTACACATCTCCCTTGTTGGGTCTTGGTGGCCGCAGTCTGTGTGTTCTCCTTGATTCTCATGAATGCTGTCACGGTCTGGAGCGCCGCAGGCAGAGGGAAGTCTGAGGTCTGGAGCCAAGAAGGGTGGGGCAAGAGCCGAGAGTGAGAGCGTAAAGCGTCAGCCAAGAGCAAGGTCGTTCAGTCCTGGGTCGGAAGCCGGAGGGAGTAATCAGAAGCCGAGAATAAGAGTCCAAAAACACAAACCAGAAGCAGGGTTGACAAGCCAGGGTCACAAGCCAGCAGCAGACGGCAGGAACAGGGTCTGGAAACCGAGGGGTGGAGACTGCAATGTTCCCTCTAAGCTGTGGAGTCCTGTGAGCAAAATTTCTACTTTGTGAGCAACTGGCATTAAACTTGTGAGCAAGCGATTTGGCTGCTGGATAAACTAGTTTGCTCTGGAGCCCTCCTTCCTGAGCGAAGACAAAAATGCGTGAGCCAGAGGCTAAAAAAACTGTGAGCTAGCTCACACCAACTCAGCTTAGAGGGAACACTGGTGGAGAGCAGCAGGGCGTCGCGGAGTGATGACGAGGTTTGCGTCCACAAACGGAGCTGGTTTCGCCCGAGGCTAGGCTAAATAGCCCTTTCGCTGCTGTTTCCGATTAGGGCAGCCCCACATCTGTTAGAACCCAGGACTGACAGCTTGCCTATTTCACAATCGAGCAGCGTGTCTCCTTGCTGTTAAGTCTTGTCGGAGTCTCTCTTGCATTCGAGCGACTCTGGGAGGTGAGTCAGGAGGGCTGTCTCTGCTGCTCGTTAATTGTTTCTGAGCCAGGTGTCAGCACAGGCCATGCTGGTGAATTGCTGCTCTCTGCAGCTTCAGAGGGGCCAGCCGTGGGTTCCGCCGGAGCTGGCAACGGCCCAACCTCAGCACCCATGACAAGGGCATCCTTTGCCTTTGCCATGAAGTAGTATGAAGAAGACCCAGCAGTAGCGTCATAATATTCTTACTAAAAGTCATGGTTCAGGCTTCTGTTGAGCAATTGTCATGGATTCGCTATGATTCTATGGAAGTCAGGCCAGTATCACGGAGTAACAGACGCCTGGATTTCTGCCGTGTTGTTGAATCAGGCCATTCAACTGAAGAGTAGCCCAAACTGGAAACAGCTTGAAAAGTGGTCTGGGAAACTCGAAGCCCCTACTAACCATTAAAACTTTGCTGTAGAGCTAAACGAGAACAGGAGTTGCAGCATTTAAGGAAGCAGAAGGAAGAGGAGAGCCTCCGCCAGCAGTTGCAGCTTCAGAGACAGAGAGCTATGCGGCTGTTCCATGAACGTCAGCTTACACTACTGGAAATTGTCCACGCAGGTATGAACTCGAGCAGACATTCAGGATCCGCATGAAGAAGCATTTCCATACAGAAATACATTTTGTATTGTCTTTTGTTCACCTAAAACATCCGTATCCTTAAAAGTAGCCCCGTGGTTCACTAAATGACTTTTCGTTAAATGGCTGTCCCTCAGAGAGAGGCAATGCTTGTAAAGGTAGTAGTTGGTGTTGGATCAGAAGGAACTTTGCTGTCTTTCGTTTTAGATCAGCTATTTCATGCAGCACCTGATATCGCTTGAATATCTTACCTGGGCACTTTTAAACCCCAAGGCATTCTGCTTATATGATTTCAGGCTTCCTTAAACTGGATCTATATCATTTATTTCCTAGGTCAAGTTGATAAGCATATGCATGAAATGGAAGAAAAATCAGCTCTAACTATTCAAAGACACTGGAGAGCATTCAGGGCACGGAGAAATTTTCTCCAGCAAAAACAATCTCTTAAGCAGTACAAGATGGCTGTTGTTATTCAGAAAGCAGTAAGTATGCAGCGAGGGAGTGGCACATGACATGATGTATTGTATTGCTGTAACTACTTGCGTAAATCATTTAAAAATGCACACAGAATTCTGTGAACGGCAAGTCAGGAGGAACTGGAAGTGATACAGTGGTATGACACATGTGTAACCTATCCCTTCTTGGAAGGGCTTTAGTAGTGCATGAGCTAGACCTGGTAAAACAAAAGGCAACCCACTTAGCTGCTCTACAGGCAATAGCTAAACATTGATGGAATTAATCTTCTGGCAGGCTGTGCTGTCTGCCCTGGGCTAGGAAGTCCTGTACTGTCCACCTTAAAAAGCTCCAGCCAGGTGGTATTTTGGGCATTCTGTTTGCTATAGGGCTTTCTGTTCAGCCTGAAGTCTGCAGGGAAAATTTAAAAGATGCCGAGAAGGACAGAACGTAAAGCCCAGTTTAGTGTAGTGGTTAAGTGCGCGGACTCTAATCTGGGAGAACCGGGTTTGATTCCCCACTCCTCCACTTGCACCTGGCTGGATGACCTTGGGCAAGCCGTAGTTCTGATAAGAGCTGTCCTTGAAAAAGAGCAGTTTCTGTCAAGAGCTCTCTCAGCCCCACCTACCTCACAGGGTGTCTGTTGTGGGTAGGGGAAGGGAAAGGAGTTTGTAAGCCGCTCTGAGACTCCTTTGGGTAGTGAAGGGCGGGGTATAAATCCAGTCTCTTCTCTTCTTCTTCTTCTTTACAGTCAGTATTTGGCAACAAGCCCGTGTCACACTTTTGTGATAATTTCCTTGTAAAAACAAAGGCATTTTCATGTACAAAGCCCTGATCTGAGAGTCAGCGTTGCCGTCGTTTGAGGGACAGGTCGTAGAGAAAATTGCCATCAGAACGTTATGGTTTAAACAATGATCCAGTTGATTCTTGAATAAGCTTCTATCACATTTTCCTTTTATAAAGATCTTTAACGTTTGCCAAAGAGCCTTTTAAGAAGGTGTCCCATCGTAACAACCCAGTTTCTATGAACTGATAGGGAAACAGACGTATTTATTTATTTATTATTTCTTAAATTATATCCCGCCCTCCCCGCCGTGGCGGGCTCAGGGCGGCTAACAACACGAGTATAAATATACAATTAAAATTCCAATATAAACAACATTAAAATAAATTTAAAATATAACCCTAGGTACTCAAGCACCTAACACAATTTCACGATGGTGACTTCCTGTTATCGCCGAGTGGCTCCCTCCAGGCCCTGTCAGCTGTTGATCATCCAGCTGTCAGTGGTGCTGATGTTAAGGCCAGGTTGGTATCTATGTTGATGTCAGGGCCAGGGCCATAAAGTCGAGGCGGCACCCGACTTGAAAGCCTGGCGAAAGAGCTCTGTCTTGCAGGCCCCGCGGAACTGTAAAAGGTCCCGCAGGGCCCTGATGTCCTCCGGGAGCTCATTCCACCAGTGAGGGGCCGCCACGGAAAAGGCCCTGGCCCTCATTAAAGCCAACCTGGCCTCTTTTGGGCCCGGAAGAACAAGGCGGTTTTGGGATCCAGATCCCAGTGCTGGGGAATATGTGTGGAGAGGCGGTCCCTTAGGTAAGTAAGTAAGTTATTGCCAAGTGGCTCCCGGTAAGTAGGTAAGTAGGTCCACGGCCATATATATGTAATACTTTTGTTTCAACAGGTGCTTAAATTCTTGGAAAAGCAAAGGAAGAGGAAGGCCTGTTCTCTTTGGAAACCACCGAAGGCCCTCTCAGATGAGCAAAGGCTGGCATTGCAGGAAAAAGTGAAAGACTACATCAAACTGCACCCGGTATGTCATCATAACTCCTGTCCAGGGCATTCTTTATTCTCATTGGTGTGTGCGTGTGTGTGTGTGGTCACTGAAGCCTGTATGTTTCCAAAGATTCTGGGAGATAACTGTCAGTCTGCGTAGTGTACCTCCCAGACCTCTATTAGGCTTTGTATTTGTCCCAGGTGAAATCAGCCAACACTTTCTTACAGCTCCATGTTGCAGAGGAAAAATTGGTTCATCTGCCTCTCAGGAGACTTTGCCCTCCTTTATCCGTTCTTCTTGAACTTCAGAGGACGTTCTTCTTGAACTTCAGAGGAGTGAGTTTCAGGAACATCTTTGCCAACCGAGTGAAATCTGGGATGAGCATCTGTTCCCCCCTTTTGTTACAGGAGTTTAAGCCCGTATATGGCCAGAGGTGCAGGTCTTTTGGTGCAAGGAAGGGAAAAGCTCCAAAGGGCTCCTACCCCTTGTTTGGTGTAGTGGTTAAGTGTGCGGACTCTTATCTGGGAGAACTGGGTTTGATTCTCCACTCCTCCACTTGCACCTGCTGATGTGACCTTGGGTCAGTCACAAGCTCTGGCACAGCTGTTCCTGAAAGAGCAGTTTGTGTCAGAGTTCTCTCAGCCCCACCCACCTCACAGGGTGTCTGTTGTGGGGAGGGGAAGGGAAAGGAGTTTGTAAGCCGCTCTGAGACTCGAAGGGCGGGGTATAAATCCAATCTCTTCTTCTTCTTCTCTTCTTTGTTTCACAGCCTGTGGCCCTAATTGAGCCAGGCCAGTGTATTTAGGACCAGCCCGGGCTGTTGGAGTTGTGTTGTATTTTTGTTTGTTTAAATTGTATTTTGTGTTCCTTTGCAAGCTTCTTTGAGTCCCTGGTGGAGAGAAAAGTGGTTAAGTAAATGTAATGGGGAAAGTTGAAATTCACTGCTATAGGTGAGCAGATCTTGCTCTTAGCTCTAATATGGGAGTAATCCTGCTTGAGGAGCAACTGTTTGATAACTGTGCCCACCACAGTGGACACAAAGGAGAATCTATTAATTCCTATCCTAATTGTAACCAATTTCTAGTCCTATTCAAGATAATGAATTATTGTAGGTTTCAGTCAGCTGATCCGTTTCTGGTCTAGTTTAACAATGTTTGAGTCCAGTGCCACCTTTAAGACCAACAAAGTTTTATTCAAGGTATGAGCTTTTATGTGCACACACACTTCCTCAAATACAATGAAGTGGAAGTGACCAGTCCATACATATAGCTTGAGGGTGAGCAGCAAATTAGCATACAACATAATGAAGATGCTTTAACAGATGCAAGGACAAACAGGAATAACAAGCCAAGTGTATTTGGTTACCATTTGTTTGGATTTAATTCGGGGGGGGGGCACGATGAAGCAAATCCATCAAAATTAGAGATTGATGTGTAAATGCAGTAAGTATGCAGCAAGGGAGTGGCGCATTTTTAATTTTGTAATGTTGAGAGTAATTAACTTCTCTTCCAAGGTAAACTAAAAGCAAAAAGAAAGAAACCATTTACTGTTGAATGCTTTTGTACTAATTTTTGTATTATTGACTGTTTTTAGAGTGTCCGTGTGGATATGTGTACATCCTTTAGGATACTAATGCAAAATGATTTCAAGAAAACCTTTAAGAACTGCTCCAGACATTTGGTGTTTTTGTGTATGTTGCTGGATGCAGTGATGTTGCAAGCACTGGCCAAGAGATGTCTGTGAGAACTGTATGCCTGGCTATTATTGCAGTGCCAGTTGTGATGTTGGAGCCTACTTTTAGCTTTTTCTGGAAACTGCTTTAACTAGTTTGATGAGAACCAAGGCAGGGGACCACTGACAGGTACTGCAAACAACGATAGCTTTACAATATTGCCTCCAGTTTTTGAAAAGTTACAATCTCTACACAACTTTTATGAGCGTTGTACACTTTTTACACATTACTGGTGTGTAATATTGTGTAAACACCTACCGTTGATATAAACTCAGAATAAACCATGAATATACTGACCCTGCTGTATTTGGTCTGTGATAGATAAGATATCAGGGTTGCTTGGGGCTTCTTTTTTCTTTTTTTTAACCGTTAATGTAATGGAACAAATTTGCTCCTTCCCGAATTGTAATTATGGAACTAAATTTATTCAGTGATGGATTGATCGCTTCAGGGGAAGGAATGGTTATTAGATCTGCGAGTGTCCAAGGAATGCAAATGTTCTGTGGTAGACATTCCGCAAAGGTTTGAAGCCGGTAACCACTAACAATGATGGGCACTGTCATTTTTCTCCAGGCTTCAGAGATGTCAGAAGAAATGAGCAAGGAGCTTCATCAGCAAGCCCAGGCGAAGCTGGCCCAGTACTTGATGAAGAGAAGCCTGGATCGGAAGGCTCAGCAGCACAGAGAGGCTCTGCTAGCCCAGGTCCGCACATACGTAGATCAGCTGACGAGTAGGTATCCCTCTCTTCCTTTAGTTCTGCTCAGATATTGTCCTGTCGTCTTAGTTTTACTGTGGGAAATTTTGACGGGTAAATGTTGGGACTCGGGCACCAGCAATCCTCCAAGCCATGACATTTCTGTGGCGGCCGTGACTATTAGGGCTGCCAAATGCAGCCGGGGGGCGGGGAATCCCCCGTTTCGGGAATCGGGGCCCGGGGGAAACCCCACCCCCGCGTGCGTGTCACCCGGAAGTGACGTCGCACGCTGGGGGCGGGGCCACGCGATTTGAGGGGAAAACAAAGAGTTTTCCCCTCAAATGGCAGCCATTTGAGGGGAAAACTCTTTGTTTTCCCCTCAAATCGCGTGGCCCCGCCCCCAGCGTGCGACGTCACTTCCGGGTGACGCGCACGCGGGGGTGGGGTTTCCCCCGGGCCCCGATTCCCG